ATTTTTTTCCCCGTTTTTGAAAGATCCATACTTGTCAAATGGTAGAACATGATGAGTTTACTGTTAATAGATAGAACCTTTTTTATTGCTTTTGCACCGATGGATAGTATCGCAGAATTTAAAACATCATAAAAGTCAAAATATGCTTTAACTGGCATATGACTTCTCAAAACGTTGAAACTTGATAAAAACGCAATTTCCAATATACCATTCGATGTGTCATGAGTTGCTCTACGGAATGGCATAGAGGACTTTTTAAATGAAGTATGATCGTCGTATCCGACATCGCCCTTCAATGGTAGTTTTTATTTTTTTGTTTAACTTCGATTTTCTAGGAAGAAACAGGTCTTGTTGTTCAAGGTGTGTCATCAAAACGAACTTCATCTTGCCGTATTGTTGCAATAATTAAACGAAATTGGAGACAATATTGTGGAATTTTACAAGAATCTTTACCTGGTGTAAGATTTTTTTTCTCTCCTTCGTTAATTTATTAACTGAAAACAATTTATTCTTATAGGCAAGATTTCATTTATTTTTACCACATGAAAGACGTATACCAAAAATTCGTATTGAAAGTCGTCAAGCTGAAGAATTAAAAAATAGTCGAGTTATGGTACAAATTGATCATTGGCCACGTTCATCTAGATATCCACATGTGAATATCTTAATTAATAAAAGAACAATAGATTGTTGAATATTTATGTTATTTTTCTTTTTTTGAAAGGGTCATTTTATTAAAACACTTGGTAAACTTGGTGATAAAGAAACAGAAAATGAAGTTATTTTAGCTGAACATGATATTCTACATCACGAATTTCCTGAAGCAGTACTTGATTGTTTACCAAAATTACCATGGACAATTACCGAAGAAGTTCGTTTATTAGTTATTTACTTTTATTTTAAATTCTTTCTTTCTTTTGTTTTTAAATATTCAAAGGATCTTGCTAATCGTGTTGATTTACGTGATTTTTGTATTGTTAGTATTGATCCACCTGGTTGTACTGATATTGATGATGCTCTACATTGTCGTTCACTTGAAAATGGAAACTTTGAAGTAAGAATCAAAGAAAAAAAAAAACATTGATGTCTTTTTTTTTTTGAAATTCTAGTGTGGTGTTCATATTGCTGATGTAACACATTTTGTACGACCAAATACAGCTTTAGATTTAGAAGCACGTGAACGTGGTACAACAGTTTATTTAACTGATCGACGTATTGATATGTTACCAGTACTACTTAGTGGAAATCTTTGTTCTTTACGTGGTGGTGAAGAACGGTAAGTTAATAAAAATATTCGAAGTTTTTTTTTCAGAGAAAATTTCTTATCGAAGTAAGACAAATTTCTCATCGCAATAGAAGCCCTAGGAAGAAAATTTTCTATTTCGAGAAGTGGTTTAGTTTGCATATGTTCAATTAATATCAGAAAGAGTGATGAACAGAATTGAATTGTTCAAGTAACATATTTCTTTTTTTTTAACTTCAATTAAGTCATTGATCAAAATAAATCTGCATACGATAATTGAGTCTTAAATCTTTATCTTTGAATTGAATACTACAGTTCTGGCTAAAAATTATCCGATCACCAGTTCTAATGATATTACTTGACCTCTATAGGCTTTTGAGAAAAGAAAATCCGATGTGACTACATACATTCTAGTATGTTTTTTTATTCAAATATGGAATCGAATTTTCTCGACGCTGCTGCCAAGCTGAAGAAAACAAATCTGTATTAAAATTTTTGATCAAAAATATTGTATCACTACTATATTTTCATTATTAGTGGGTAAGAAAGATGTTAATTTTATTTGAAAATCATACAGATGGATAGAGAAGTTCCTTCTGCACGTTTTCATAAAAGAAAAGCTTGAAAGTTTTACCTAAGTTCGATATATTAGATGTAAACTTTGAAATATAGATAGTGCTGATTTTTGGACAACGAATTCGACTAGACAATGCTTTTTAAGACAAAATGAGATGTTCGAAAGTTCGATGTATCATTCCGTTTCAGTTTACACGAAGAAAACAAAACACAGCAAACGGCTTAAAACCAAATATTTCTCTGTAACAGAACAATGCACAGAACTTGCGAACATCTTATTTTGTTGTAAAAAGCGTTTTCTATTTGAATTCGTTATCCAAATTTGCATGCAAAATATTGAATATGGGTGATATTTTCAAGCTTTTCTTTTATTAAAACATTCAGAATGACAGAGAACGATCAAATTATATCAATCAAACTCAATGTTTTATTCACTGTGAAGGCTAAGGATACAGTGCGCCTCCGAGGATTGGGTTGGTGGTTATTGTAGCATGTTCTATGTGTCTATGCCTTTAAAAATAGGTGTTTACCTTTCAGGAGTTTTAAAATATCAGCTTTTATTTTTAGTATAGCTCAATTACTCATTTGATTATGTATTTTTTTTTGTTTAGTTTTGCATTTTCTGTCCGATGGGAAATAACACCAGATGCAAAAATAGTTAACACAATATTTCATAAGTCAATTATCAAAAGTAGAGTATGTATTTCTTTTAATTATTATTTTTATAATTATTTTATAAATACAAAAAAATAAATAGTCTGCAATGACATATGAACAAGCTCAAGCAATAAAAGATGATTCTGGAATAAATGATGAAATAGCTCGTAGTTTACGACGTCTTCATTCAATTGCTGCACAATTACGTCAAAAACGTCTTGATAAAGGTGCATTAGTACTTGAATCATCAGAAGTTCGATTTCAACTTGATACAGAAACACATGATCCACTTAATGTAATAAATAAAGAATTAAGGTAATTTGAAATGTTTGTTTTCAAAACATTTTTTTGTTTGTTTGTTTAAATAGAGAAACAAATTGGCTTGTTGAAGAATTTATGCTTTTAGCAAATATAAGTGTTGCTGAAAAGATTTATGAATTATTTCCTGATTGTGCATGTTTACGTAAACATCCTGCACCACCAATTTCAAATTTCGATCCACTTGTTAAAGCAGCTGAAACAAAAGTAAATTATTCTAATATAAATATATTAAAATAAATAATCTTTTTTTTTTCTTTTCAAAGGGTTTTCAAGTAAAAGCTAATACAGGAAAAGAATTAGCTGATTCTCTTGATCAAGCAATTCTATCTGCTCATCCATATTTTAATACAATGCTTCGTATGCTTGCAACACGTTGTATGATGCAAGCTGTTTATTTTTGTAGTGGATTTGAATCAGATATAAAAAGTTTTGAACATTATGGTTTAGCTACACCAATTTATACACATTTTACATCACCAATTCGACGGTAAAAAGAACTTTTCATTTTTCTTTGTATCTTCGATAGTTTTTTTTTTAGATATGCTGATGTACTTGTTCATCGATTATTAGCTGCAGGTATTAATGCCGATGCAACATTTCCTGATTTACTTAATAAACGGGTTTTACAACAAATATGTAATAATTTAAATTATCGTCATCGTATGGCTCAATATGCAGCACGTGCATCTGTTGATTTACATACACAAGTATATTTTGTTTTATGACATATACATTATATATCGATTAATTTGAAATATAATTTTATAGTTATTCTTCAAAAATATGAATACCAACGAAGATGGTTATGTATTTGCTGTACGAAAAAATGCATTACAGATATTATTACCACGTTATGGATTAGAAACAACATTGTTTTTAAGAGATAAAGATGGAAAATCAGTTGGAGAATTTCATGAAGAGGTAAAATTTTTAAACGATAAAAAAATATTTTTAGTATCCACCCCTTCAGACAAGTCAAAAAGTATACGCCATGACCAGAATTTGAATATGAACTTAAGCTCCTATGCGAATATGCTAAAAATTATCGGAGTCGATCATTTTTGTAGAGTAGATATTTCTCTACAAAATGTGATATTGAACTAAGTTGTAGCTTTCATCGAAGTAAGGTGACAAGCATTTTTCCAAGAGCTCCTTTCAATGTAAAATTTCAAACATGAATATTTAGGAAAAACAAAAATTGAGGTGTCTGGTCGAAAGACAAAAAATAGTGCATTTTGTAAGATAGCTTCTGATCGTTAAGCTGATGATTTCAACTTTTAGTGTCGAATGACAATAGTGAAAATATAAAAATTTACTGTTCAATGTAATTTTTTTCAGCTTTTCAAAGATTATTTCACTATTCTTGAACAAAAACTGCGACAATATTCGAAAAGAGCATCCTAACTTATAACTCGTCGGATAATACTTTCTAGCGGATCAAGGATGAATAAACATCTTGTCTAAAAACTTTTGCGATTATCCATTATCAATAAGTTGTTATTATAAGATAATGAATTACTTCCTTATTACATTTCTCGAAGATTAGAATAAAACAATCCCTCCTGAGATTAGCAACAGCAGCTATATATATCATGTTTCACATTTTAATACCATAGGAATTACGCTAACAATTTTTTTGTATTAGAATTAATGGTTAAGATATAGAAGATAACACAAATCTGAGTGTATAATTATTTTGATATTGATCATCTAATTTTACTATCTCGAATTAGTTGACTAAAGATATTTTTCGATCAATGATCTGACAACGTACATTCTTTTTTTGACTATCTACTTTGATATTTTAGGAATCTACACAAACAATAAATAATCTCACAATACATATGTTCGATCCAGTAACTGTTCAAATTAGTGTTGATAGTAATAATATTCAACGACAACGTATACAAATTCATCTTGTTAAACCATTTATTGACGGTTTTAGTGTTGCACCTATTGTTAAAAATAAAACAACAATAGACGAAATTGATAATACAATAACAACACCAGTTAAACGTCTTAAAGTAAAATCATCTAAATAAAACTTCACATTTCTTGTTTTCTCTTTTTGATTCTTATGTGATTTATAAAAAAGAAAAAGAAAAAAACCAAAATAAAGGTGTGATTTTGTATTTTGTTCTTTCTTTGGAAATAGGATGTTGACTAGAATTTTTTCGCATACACATTTATATATATATGTCACTTATGATTCATTAGCAACTAGTTCTGTTGTTGGTGTACGACGTGTAATACTTCGTGGTCGATTAACATATTTTGTTAAAATAGGCATTTCAAGTACAGTTGTTTGTTTTTGTGGAATAGATGATTTTGATGTTGATGGACGACAATTTGTATTCTATAATAAGGATATATTATTTAAATTGTTAATTGAAGAATTTTCAAAATGTTGTGATACTAAAGGTGTAGTGTGTATAGTAGTATGTTTTTGTAACGGTGATATCAATGGAAGAGGTGATGGTGATATAGGTGCATGATTTAATGTACTTAAAATTTGTGCAGATAAAAGTACCTCAGAACCTAATGATGATTTATTATCAGTTCGACCTGGTATCCGTGATGCTGATTGTGGTGCTGGACGATGATTCAAAGTTGTACCTTTAATTATACGTTTTCTCATATCACGTAAATCAAGTGATGTGTGATTTTTTATAAGCTGTTGATCTTTTATATGTAATTTTGACGTTGTTGTTGTTGTTGTTATTGTTGATGATGGTAGTTGTCGAGGAATATGTTTTGCTCGCGAAGCATTAACTTCATATCGAACATAAGCTTGTGCAAGATTATAATCAATTAATGGTTTTTTAAATAGATCTGTATTATGATCATTATTATTATTATTATTATTATTATCATGAATAATACCAGGAATTTTTTGAACTTCTTTATATGCTAAACCTTTATAAAGAAATTTTGATTTTGGTATTGGTCGAATATTTGGTAATACTTGTCGATTATAATTTGTTGAATCTTGAAATAATTGTTCTTGTTGTAATATTTGTAAATCTTCAATAGGATATTGACTTCGTTTTGACGTTGGTTGTATATGAACAGGTACACATGTAACAACAGAACGCCACATTTTTGTTGTTTCTTCTTTATTTTCAACGTTATGTTGTTCTTCAGCTTCAATAAATGTTGCAAGAGTATTATTTCTTAATTGAATATCATCTGATGTTCTACGAATATCTGTTTGTTGATTTGTTAATAGATTTTCACTATGATTTTTATCTTGATCTGTAAGATTTTTATATGAAGGAGATTTTTTATTTCTATATGCTGATAAAACTGTACGAGATCGTTGAGATATTTTTATTGTTGATGATGTAGTTCGAATAGCTGTTGATTTACGAGATTTTGTCGGTGAAATAACACGATCAATTTCAAGTTGTTGAACTTGTATTGGTGAAAAATAAACGTGTCCGTTATAACCTCTCCAAACCTATAAAAATTTTAGATAAAATTAAAAAAATGATGTTAAATAATCCAAATATTATGGGACAACAAGGTCCACCTCCTAATCAAGTTCAACCACCAACTCAAACTCAACAACCAACAACAACAACAACTACAACATCACAAATGATACCCGGTGCTATTAATCCAACAATGACTGTACAAGCACGTCAAAATCAAAATGATGATATATTAGCACGTTGTCTTACTCAAACTCAACGTCTTCGTGAAAATCTTCAAGGTTTACTTAATACAACAAAACAAGCAGCACATATTGAAACAGATGAACAAACATCATCATCATCATCATCAACAACAACAACAACAACAAATCTTTCAACAAATTCAACAATAAGAAATAATATTGATCGTAAATTATATGAAATGAGTACATCACTTGATCAATTATTTGGTTTACTTGATCAATATGATTTTAAATTTTTACAAAGTCAACAAACATTAGTTAATCATTATAATGAATTATCCTATGAAAAACAAGGTACAGTAATAGATGAATGGTCATCAAATGTAAAATGGGCTGATAAATTAATTGATATATTTCCTTTAATGCATCCAAGTACTCAAAATTATCGTCGAAGTAATTATCGAACAATAAATTCAAATATTCGTTCACGTGTTGATGGACCATCATCAGCAATAATTGATCGTGTTATAGCACAATTTGAATCTTCTCTACCACAGCAACAGCAACAACAACAGCAATCATCACAAAAAGAATATTCAATTAGTGTACAACGTTTATCAGATCATTTACATATTATTGAATTTAGTTTATTTCGTTCGGGATTAGATATTTATTTATATGTTCGACATTGTACTGTTGAACATGTTATTGTTAAACCATTAAATGAAAAAAAATTATTTTCAAATAATTTAAATAATAAATTATCAACAAATTATCGTGCTTTAGACTTAATTGCTGGACATATACGTGCAGCTGCTGTTTATTATGCACAATTTACAATGCAAGTTGATCAAGCATTAGGAAAATTATTATTATATATACATAAATATCAAACATTACATGGACAAAAATGTATTAATTGTCAAAAACATTTATTAAATGGTTTACAACCAACATGGAGAGATTTTAAAACTTATGAATGTTTTCATGAAGAATGTTTAAATTGAAATTCAAAAAAAAAAAGGGATTTGACATAGATAATATTTTAAAATTTTAATATTCTCACCTGGTGAATGTTATAAGAAAAAAAAGAAACTTCAAATGTAAAGCAAAAATATTATTGAATTTCATTAAGATTATTCGCTTCTTATTTTTTTTTTCTTACTTTTTTTTTCAATGTTTGTAAATATATGTTAAAAAAATATAGAAAGAACGATGCATGTATGTTATTGATTGTCGTTACCATATAATTTACACTCGAATGTAAATTGATTTCTCCTTTCCTATCGATTGACTGTCTGCATACTAACGCAATGTCTTTACTCAACATGTCACATTCAACATATTAATTTTGACGACAAGCAAGAATGAGAAAAAAAATGAAATAGATACGGACCCGAAGTGGTGCCATAGGAACAGGTCGCTTCTGTTCAAGATAGTAAAATCGAGGATGTAGAAATCCAAAACCAGGTGGTGGATCACTTGATCCAAGTACAGCATTAACATCGTGATCAAGTTTAGTTTGACGTGGACTTTCTATTTTTTCATGAAGTACTGTAGCATAATCATATACTGACCGTGGAATAAATGTTTGTAGATGTTCACTAACAGCTGATGGTGATGGATCATCATGTGACCTTTAAATTTTACAAATATTTTAATTATTCAGAATGAAAAAATAAAAAAAAAACATAAATAAATCAATTCTTACATTTTATCTTGAAGATTATCATTTACAGTTGTTGGTATTAATATAGATGATATTTCTTGTGATTGTTTATTATTTAAAATTTCTTCTATTTCATCATTTGCTATGGGTGTATCTTGAGAATCAGCTGATGATTTAACATCAATATCAATATCATCGTCATAATCATTTAGAGTAATTGATTTTACTTGTTTATCATCAGGTACTGTTGTAAGAAACGTTTGATTAGTACCCTCCGTCATCCTAGACAAAACCAAAAAAAGAAAAGAAATGTTCGAAATAAATTCGATTTTTATTGTTGAAAGACTTCAGGTTCAATTTCTTACACGTTTCGTCAGTTAGAACTTATATATTGTATGAAAGAAAGAGAAATTGAAAACGTTTTGTTTGCATTTTTATTCCGCGTCAATTGAAATGAAAATGTAAAGAAAAAAAATTGTAACGTTTATTTTATGCATACTTACTTCGACGTTTTTTTTAATGTGTCTCATTGACTTACTCATGTAAATAATACAAAGAAATTTATATATACACAATGAATATCAACTTTAAAATAATAATTAAAATACATTCGAATTTGTCTTTGTTTTTTTGTAAATAAATATTATCAAACTGTTATTTATTTAGTTAATTGTTCTTGTTTTGTAATTAATCTTAGCATTGTTAAGAAATATTTCGATTAGGCCAATAAATTATAAATAAGATATATCGTCTGATAGACTATAAGCTATAATATACATTGTCTTGCCTCATTGTAATACATTTTTATTAAATTAAATATTTCGTTTTTCTGAAGTATTATAAAATTTATTTGATGTTGTCTAGCTGAATATTAAGTTCTGATAAACTTGTAAAATTAATAAATTCTAACAACAATAGATGAATTTAGTCATGAACAAGTATCTATGTAAATGAATTTTTTTATTAAAATCGTTTAATGCACACTAAATACATTTTGAAAGTTATCCAAAAAAAACCTTCTATAAAAGATGAGGTTCATAGTTCTTTTTTCGTTAAAAATAAGTAGTTTTTAGTGAATTTTCTCTCTCTCTCTCTTTCTCAAGAACGATTATTTAAAAAAGTTTTATATAAAATCTCAAAAAAACAAACAAACAATATAAAAAGTTTTTATTTTAATCATAGCCAAGTATTTCTTTTGGCACACGTTTTTTATGCTGATCATCAAAACGTGTCTGTAGACTTCGAATTTCTTGTCCGGAATCAGTTTGTAAACGCCAACCATAATCATGACCACGAGAATTAGGAATCTTAATAAACATAAAACAAAAGCAAAAGGTCACTAAAAATTTCAATTTAGATTTCGTTTTCCAACCGTGTTTGAAAAACGTGTTGAATTTTGTAGTGGTGGTTTGTCTGGTTTTAAATTTCCCTAAATAATTTCAACAATTTTCATATAATTTAATAAAATTAGAAAAGTCAAATTACTTTAGGATCATAGTCCGCCATCCAACCGTACATTTGTTTCCATTGTTTTCGAGTTGATTCTTCTTTTGACACGCTTTCAATCCAAATTTGTGCTAAATCCCATGGAGTAAATGCTCCATCATCGAGTTTTTTTGTACTGGTTCCACCAGTAGCTGCTGGTGGTGCACGTGCTGGAGCTGGTGGTGCAGCTGCTTCAGTTCGATTTCTAGATTTAGATAATAAAAAACAATAAATCAGAAAATTTAGCAAAAAAAACGTTTCTTGTACCCTTTTCGAAGTAAATTGGCCATGACTACACACACGGTCTCTATGTTTCTCTCACTAATATAAACATACACACTCTTTCTTTTTCTTTCTCACCCCACACACACACACACACACATACAATGACACTCTCCTCTTCAAACAACTTGAAACGAGAGAAAAAAAAATTTACTTTATTTTCTTTTTATTAAGAAAAATATGAATGCATTCCAGAAAAAAAAGATGTTAATGCGCATGTTGATACCATAAACTAATTAGAACAATAATTAAAAATCCAACAAATATCAAAATTATATTAACGAATGGGCAAAGTTTTGTTTTCATAAGATCATCATAGATCATATCAATAAATGTTATATATATAAATGTTCCTGCACTTAAACATTGTAAAATTCCATTTATTAAATTTAATCTAGATGAATCTGAACTAACTAATAAACCTATAAATACACCAATTGGTCCCATTATACTCCAAATAGACATAGCACAAAATACTTGAAAATAATTTTTATTATTAATCAATAGACGAAGTGTTACTGAAAATGCAAGTAAAGACATATGAAAACAAATAGCACCTAATAAAAGCCATAATGTTGCTGTATCTTTTGTTTGTCCACCAATGAGAATCCCATCTAAAATAGATTCATGTATATGTATAAAGAAGGACAAAAACAAAAGAATTTTATTACATACTAAAAAAATAATGAACACCAAGGCCAAAAACAATTGTAACAAGACGTCCTAATTGATGATTATGATGCGATGTCACTGACGAATCAATTAATTTTTCTTGTTCATTTTTATTTTGTCTTTTTGATAAATATAATTCAAAAAGATTTGTTAATTCTTGAATGATACATATAAGAAAAAATCCGAGACCAATTAATAAATAACCCATATTAATTGTATGCCATTGATAAGCAACAAGTTCAAGAGAATTTGGAAGGATTATCATTAATAGAGTACCTAATTTTTAATAAATGACATAAAAATAAAA